CATTGTATGTATGGTAAGGAGCTGCCCTGGAAGGCTGCCCAGATCCACATCAGACTTCATGCAAGCAGGAAATAAATATTTCAAGCCACCGCAGTTTGGGGGCTGTTTGTTACCACAGCATAACCTCACATTTCCTATCTAATACATGTATTAGTACTGCTCCCTTGTCTACTGAATAAATAACAACTATATAATTATTAAATACATACTATATGATTTCATTTATATATGGAATCTGAAAATAAAACAAACAAACATAAGAAAATAAACAGACTCAGATACAGAGAACAAATGTGATTGCCAGAGGGGAGGGTTGGGGTCGGGGAAGAGTGAAATAGATGAGGGAGATTTAGAGATACAAACTTCCAGACACAAAATAAATGAGTCACGGGGATAAGATGTACAGTATTGGGAATATGGTCAATGACATTGTAATAATTTTGTATGGTGACAGATGGCAGCTAGATGTGTTGTGGTGATCACTGTGCAATGTGTGAAAATATCAAATCATTATGCTTTACACCTGGAGCTAACATAATATATAAATTATGTCAATTATAAAATATATATATATATGGATTAATGAATGTCTCCCTTCACCCCAGGGGAAAATCCGGCTTCCCACCGGCTCCTCAGTCACATGCGCCCACACCTCTGTAGATAGTCCCTTCAGTTAAGCCTCTTCAGTTGAACCACCTGAGTGAAATCCCATTTCTGATGGGACCCTGACCTTTGCTCCCTTCCCACTTACATCATCTCTAACGGGGAGGGGAGGCTCCTCAGTCTGCCTCCTACCACCTGCCTGGGCTGAGGGCTCTTCCCAAGGAAGAGCGGAGCTCTGTTCTGTCCAGATATTGAGCCCCCCTGTTGTGTGCAGCCCCATTTTGAACCACTCCTTTGGCATCCTGGCTGTCAGGGGAGGCCCTTCCATGTCTCAGGCAATGGAGGGAAGTCAGGCTCCAGGAACCTACCTGGCTGAGGACCTGAGGCTCTGCCTCCCCAAGCCTCATCACCTCCGTGGTAGGGGCAGGGTGGTTCCTCTCTGGTAACGCCCTGTCATGGGCTTGAGAGACAGGTGTGTTCAGGAGTCCAAGGTGAAGTTCCTGGGCCCAGTCCTGCCGGGCTGGGCTCCTACATGCCACCAGCTGCAGCACCAGGGAGCCTCAACCAGGCAGGCTCCCCCATTCTCCACCCTGACTCCCCAGTAATCGAGCACTTCAGGGAAGGGAGTGGCTTCCTCTGGAACACTGCAAGGCCTAAGGCTTTCCAGCACCTGAAACTCTCTTTGCCTCTGCCCAACCCCGTTGGCCTTTCACAGTGAACCCTCCAACACGGCAGGGGTCCTGGCCCTGTCCTGGAGGACTGGGACTCCAGTGAGCCCCGTCCCTGGAGCTGGCCTGGCTCTTGGAGTCACCCGGGTAGGAGAGAAGCCACAGGTTCCAGGCCGCTCTGGAAGTGAAATGCTCATGGAGAGAGAAGAGACATAGCCCAGAGAGCTGGAAGCCAAGGGCAATCCCACCCAGATAATTTCTGGAGGCTTCAAAACTTTTCCTGTTACTGATAGACTCTCTGCTGATCCTTCCTGGCTTTCTAGCAGAGACTCCTGGCTGGGATGACATGTCCCCATTGCTGCTGAGGAAGCAGTCAGAGGACGTCAAGTCTGGATGTCAAAAGAGGACCGACTGTCTGGCAACATCCCAAGCCAACAGGCTGAGGGGCTGGCCTCCACCTGCCCAGGGCTGAATGGGCAACAGAGAGTCATACATGTTGTTTGAGGTTAGTTTGTGAGATGAGAGCTACTTGGGATAAAAGCATGTGTAGCTGGGGCCCGAGGGTCCCTGTAGCCCTGGCTGCCTGGCAGCCTGTCTGGGCTGTCCACAGGAAAAATCTTTAGCTTCTGGCGGTGGTCCTCTGAACCCCTGAGTTCTCCACCCCCGTGACTCTGGGCTTTGGAAGATGTGCCTGCCTGAACACCAGTGAAGCCTGCCTGGCTTCCTGCTCCCCTATTCTGCAACAGAAGGGGTCTGAAGACAGGACGGTGCCTGGGGGCACTGGAGAGACCTGGGTGCTGGAGCCCCTCACCCTCATTGACTGGGCACCAGAGTTCTGAGCGAGGGTGGGACAGGGACAGCTGCATCCCAGGGAGACAGGCCCAAAGAAGGGCCCTGAGCCACCCACTGGGGCAGTGGAGGAAGCTGAGGGGGTGGGAAGGGGTGGGAAGGGCCCTAACCTTCCCCAGCTGGAATGTGTCTTCAAAGCTGTCTCCTCACCTGGGTGAGTCACTGTGTTGGCTGCCCACCCACGTGAGAACCTGCTGCTGAGGGAAGAGAGGTCAGGGCTCCTAGATGCCAGCAGAAAGGCCAGGTACCCCCGGCCACCTCTCCCCAGAGCCAATTTTCCTCTGGATCCACTCAGGCAGGCCCACTACCCCATGACTTCAGGGCCATACTGCTTCCAATCCCCCGAGTGGGGTCATGCCCACCTGGTAGAACCAGCCCCAAAGGCTCCTTTGTCCTTGCTTTCACCAAACCGGGGACAGAGACAGAAGCTGCACCAGAGCATCAGTGTACCAAGGATGTCACAAGATTATTTTGGAACTGAGTTTCCTGTTGGTTTCAAGAATAGAGTCTAATTATTCATAATTTCTCACGCAAGGGTCTATGGGGCATAGGAACCATAATTGTTAGCTTTAGGTGAAAAGAAAACCCACGGTCCCCTCAAAAAGCATATCACGCTGTGCAAATAGGAAACCCGATCATCTGTTCTCTTTCTCTCTGAGGTCCTGGGCCTCAGGCCCCCGTTGACCCTGGCACTCGCTGTGGGGAAAAGCTACCCACCCCACGCTCCTGTGAGTCAAGGCTCGTAAGGCAACCTGACCGACTGTGCAGGATGTACAGAAACCTTCCGAATCTTCCCAAAGCAGAAAGGAAGTTTTCAATTATTTCTTTCGTCTACTTACAGAGAGAAGATGAGGTAGAATTAGAGGGCCTTCAGTCAGCAAAATTTAATTTTAATTTAATTCACAACACCTGATCCCCAGCTGTCAGGTGTTCTGAGCAGAGCTTCCTGACCTGGCCGAGCTGGTCAGAATCACTTGGGTCAAAAGCCATATGGCCAATCCTCTCCCAGGAGACTCAGATTCAGTAGATCAGGGGATGGATTGGAGCAGGAATCTGTATTTTCAACAAGATCCCTGGGGGATTCTGATACAAATAAATCCAGAATTGGGAACCCGGCTGCTAGATCTATTCAGAGACAAAAGCCTTGTCTTCACATTTTCCCTCCTCTTCAGACTAATTCCTAAAAAATAAATGCGATAAGTAAATAAAGACAGTTTTCAAGATGTTCATGGAATGATTTTTTTTATATTTTTCAACTAGTTAAGACAAAAACATTACAATGATTGACTTCTTTCATTTAGTTACATAAATAAAATTTTTATAAATATCTCTTTATAAACAATATAAATAGCTTTACAACATAAATACATTAATGCATGACATGAATTTACAAACAGCAATGTTTTACAGCTGGTTTTGTCAGTCTCTTAAAAACTGTCCCTTGTCATCACATCAGTGTAGGTGTGTGTGTTTCATGTATATAATATATATAATATATAACTTTTTATTTTTCATTAAAAAAACCCCAAACAATAAAATCATAACCCCCCTCCCTAAATAATAATAAAACAGCTGGTGTTGTGTATTCCCAGTACCAGGAAAAAAAAAAGAGAGAAATGTAAAAGCCACATTGCGCTGGAGGTGCGTCCAGATGCTGGGAGGCTGATGACCAAGGATGACCTCAGCAAAGCGGAGCAAGTTCCCAATCCTGAAACACAGAGGGGCCACGGGACGCTCAGTTCTGGCCCCTGAGCTGAGAAAGCCTAGCCTGCAGGGAAGTTCTAGAACCTTCCTCCCTTTCCTGCTGTAGCATGAGGCAAAGTCCCTCCACGTTTGCCCTGCAGGCCCCGATGAAGGCCTTCCTGTAGAGGGAAAAGGGCCCTTTCCCTTAGGTCCTTTCCAGGCCCTCAACCTTCACCTGCTGTGTCTTTGGCACTTCCTGCCCCTGCACAGGTGGAACCAGAAAGCCAGCCAACCCTCCTCCCCCTCAGTCTAAGTGCAGGCCTTGCCCTTGGCACTCGGTGAGACACAGTGAGGGAAAGGCGATGGAGAATGGCCCTCCTTCCCTTCCTTGCTACCATAAGAACCCTCAGTCAGGTGCCTGCCTCTGCTTTAGGTGTCTGAGGGACGGCAGAGGGAAGGGGAAGAGAAACAGCTGAAGAGTCGGGAATTCTGGGCTCAAATCCCAACTCTGACGTTTACTTCCTGGATGGACCTGGATAGCTTTGAGTATCGCTTTCCTCATCCATAAAATGGGATAATAGCCACCTCCCAGGGCTGGCTCTGAGATTCCACACACTAGGCATTGGCAGAGTGTCTGGGTCACAGCTGCCACTAGGTAAATAGCACTTCCTTCCCCAGCCGGCTTTGCCTCGGGATGGGACCCCCTTCAGAAGCAGAGGAAGTGGGCCCTGGGGAAATGGTCCCAGGAGTGGTCCTGCTGGGTTTGCACTGGAAGGTTAGCAGAGTGATTTGATGAGGGCTGCAGCCAATCTCTGCTAATGAGTGTGTGGGTGCTCAAGGGCCAGAGGAAGGCATCCTCCTGAGATGGTGCAGTGCCCCCAACAGAGGACACTGCAGGCAGAGGGACCCCAGGATTCCAGGCCTTGATGAACTCTCTCCCAACTCCCTTCTCTGGCCATCCCATGTGTGTAAACAGATGACAGATATCTATGATGTCCCTGGGCCCCACAGGCAAGGTATTCATTCAGGCTTCAGCCACACCTTTTCTCTGTCATTAGCACTTTATAATCAGGGCTATAACCATCAGCGACAGTCATTATGGTGGCTGGTTAGAACCAAAGTCAACTCCTGAGTAGAGAAATAGCTACAGCTTCGGGAAAGTTTTCATTAATGTGAAAAACCTAAGCTATCTTTCTCTTTAAAGCTTAGACAGTGAGATACCCTGGGCCTCTCCATTAGGAGGTGGAGGCAACAGGAAAGATGCTCTGCCTTCTCATGGGGGTGGGGGTAAGGGTGGAGGCGGGTTGAGAAGGTTAAGGGTGTTGGAGGTGGGTGTTCAGCTAAAAGGGAACTTCCAGGAGGTTGACAACTTCCCTGGTCAAAGAGGTCAAGAAGTCTTAGCAAACTGGATTCCCCCTGCACAGCACCTCTCGCCACCCATGCCTGGTACCCACAGATAGCTACATCTGAGAACAAGGAGCCTATGGGGATGTGCATGCCAGGCACTTTCCAGGACCTCATCTCATCTCCTGCTAACTCGAGGAATAACATTTGTTTGGATTCTGAAGTTTGAGCTTGGTGCTTAAATCACAAATTGAAGATTTGAGACCTGTGTCTCCATCTCCTCATTGTTGAGACAGAAGAGAACACACCCATCGGGATGCTAGCCACTAAAGGCTGGGACCTAAGTGCCAGAATCATGGCAAGTCAAGAGCTCAGACAAATGAAGCCCCTGCAGAAGTGGGGAGGAGCACGCAGCCCAGTCAAGTCTGGCTGCAGAGAGAGGAAGGGTGCCAGCTAAATACCAGGGCAGATGGGAGAGAAGAGCCCCTAAGCTGGGTGGGGCAGTTTCTCGGCCATTGACTGACATTTTGAAGAGCCCCTTTGGACATACTGTGGGTCCCAGATCATCTTAGGCTGGCATCTGTCCCTTAAGTTGCTTATGAGTTGATCTGGAGGTGAATAGGTTCACAAGCAGCTAGCTTGGATGAAAAGGTTTTCTGTGTAGTAGAAAAGGCCCAGGCAGTGTGCTGGAGAGCTTCAAAGAGGGGCACTCTTGTCCTCTGGGGGAGATATTGATAAGGCTTCTGGGGTGAGAGAGCACTTGGCCTGGATTGGGAGAGAAGTTGTGGGACAGGAAATGACAGCAGCTGGCTGCAGGCAAGGCTGGAAACCAGGAGGGGTCAGATTCTAAAGCACTTGAATGCCAGTTCCAGAGGCTGGGACGTTGTTTCTCCTTGGACACTGATGGACAGTAGAAAGGGAGAGGAGCGAGGAGAGGTGGGGAAGGACCTTTGCAGCAGTACATTGCCAGGATGCAGCACTCGGCAGGGGCTGAAGGTAGCACAGGGGTGTCCCGCCTGGTGGAGTGGGAGGAAGCCGTGCCAGAAACTCAGGCATGGAGCCCAGGCATGGTGGGGGTGGGGAGGGTGGTGAGGAGCTCATTTTGGGACATGATGAGTTGAAGCTGGGGCAAAAAAATAGATTGATTTTAATTTCCTTTTCCTTGCCCTGAAAGAGTGCCACAAACACTGAGATTCGATCCTTAAGTCCTATGGGCCGCAGCAGCGTCAGGACCCTGGACAGACCAGTTTGCCCACAGCTATGGTTTAGAGAAAAGACAAGAATGAGAATGCTCTGGGTCAGCGGTGCTCCTTGGTGATGCCAAGGGATGTCTATTTTCTCTACTGCGAGGGGGCAGGTATTGTTCCAAGTCTGTCCTATCTGAGACAACAGACCCTGGTAGCCATCCTGACCACTGGGCTACTTACTGCCCAGCACCTGGATGCAGTGGCTGGCAGATAAACTTACCCTCCACTTGTGTGTGTATGTCCTTCCTCCTCTGTTTCCACAAACCCAGGATTATCCCTCAATTGCCCCAACTGGCCAATTGGGGCCAGTGCTGCTGGTTGGCTTATGATCCTGGGGTTGGCGGGACACCACTAAGCTGTCTCTGTTTCTCCAGAGGAAGCCAGATGGGTTCATCCATGCTGAGCCATTTCTGACCTTCCCAAAGATCCCTGACCATTTTATCCCTCACTTTCTCCATCTGCAAAATGGGAGGATAAATGGGCTTGGCGGCAAATGTCTAGCACATATAGTCTAGTGCTTGGATGGGCTGGCTGTCGTCCAAAAATCGGCTGGGAGGAGGAACGGTCCCAGGGCCAGGGGATCAGAGAGGAACCGGCCTGCAGGAGGGGGTGCAGGCTGGTTCTAGGGGGCTTCGCGGGGAAGGAGCTGAGTGTGCAAGAGCGCCCGGCAGCCAGGGTTGGTGGTACTCACCGCCGCCAGGGGTCGCCGCACTAACATCCCAGGCCGCTCATGGAGCCGATCCGGTCCAGTTTGAGGCCAAAGCAGCCCTTGGACAAACCCTTCTTGTTGCCTCCTTTGTACTTGCGCGCGTTGGGGTGCTCGTGCATAATGCGGGCCCACGCCGCCCGAGACCTGGTGTCCACGCGCACGTCCCGGAGCAGTCGCGACCGGTCGCCCTTGAGATTGGCGCCGCCGCCCCCGGGAGTCTTGTCGCCCTTCTTCTGACCGCCGCCCGCAGCCTGGGGCTCGGCCACCTCCTCCCCTGGCGGAGTTCGCGGGGCCTGTCCGAGGAAAAGAACGGGCAGGTGAAGGGACGCACGGCAGCAGTGCAAAGGACTTGGCGGGGCCGCTGATGCTCTAGCCCCACACGCTGGCCAGCGCGGTTTGCCTCTTCCGAGCCCTAAGCGCGCCCCCACAGGTGCGGGACAGCTCGGCCCTGCATCCACCTGCCACGCGGCCACCGTTGTCCGCTCCTTCAGGCGCCCCTTGCCTTCCTCTCCTTTGCCCCTTGCCCGGCTACTACACAGGGGCAGGCGCTGCGCATTTGCCGATGTTCTCCCGAGTTCGGGCTTCGAGGGCTCCCCAGCTCTCACCCGCGCACATCTCAGGGGAGAGGGCCTCCTTCCCGCCCCCTCTGCTCCCTCCAGCGCGCTGCATCTCCTAGACTCCCAGCCCTCCCACAGCCCCTCACAGTTCCGATGTCCCTGCGACAGCACCCACCTTCGGCGGCGTCCCGGGCTTGGCTTCGGAGGGCCAGAGCGAGAGTAGCGTGAGCAGCAGGGCGCAGGCCAGCAGCTGGGAGAGGTGCATGGTGTCCGTGGCGTGCAGGGGCGCAGACCGCGGCAGCGAGAGTGAGCCGGGC